AAACCTGGGGATGGGAGAAAAGGAGGTCAAGAAGCATATCAAACATCTAATTTTTTTCAACCAGGAGGAAAAGAATTAGACTATGATATGACCTCAATTTATGAAATGGGGTTCAACATCTTGTCTGCGCCAACTGGGCTAATGGAAGACTGCAATATGCCATGCAAGTGTGACATGTGTTACATGTGTGAGAGAAATTTTCTCATGGAGCAAATTTTCTAACTCGATTTCAAACTTTCAAAAGATCTTACATCAGCTGGCAATGGTATAAGGAGAGGACCTCAGTTTTCTGTTTCATCCAAATAGATGCTGTACAGTAGAACCTAAATTAGGTTTACTATATATATATATATACTTAAAATTTTTAACGAAATACAAATCAAGACAAAAAATACAACTTTGTTTTTGACCAAAATCAAAGAAGTCTTTCAATCTCAGATTGGGGAAAATTATAATTGTCACACAACAAATACCTGTACACGTATGTACAGTAGACTCATTATACATTTCCCCGATCAAAATGAAATGAAGTTTAACGTCCTACTGTTCTGTTCCGACTGGGCATACGCCATACAGTGTGCTACGAAAGAAATTTTGCCCAGACAGTGGCACTACAGTCTACTCTTGTATTGAATTCCAACTGCCAAATATCTTTTATATGCACGCCAATCTGTACACGGGACCTCTGTCTTTTGTCTCATCCAAACGACTCTACTTTGTCTCTTGTCAGGCCCTTTGTCCTGCACCACTGCCTAGAGGGAAGTTCTCCGGGAACTACGCTGGAAAGTCCCTATGAACTTTCTCGGCCAACATAGGGATCGAACACGGGACCTCCCAGGTAGCGAGTTAAAGTCTTATTCACTGAGCCAATGTGGCTCCTCCTGAGCAAAACAAAAAGAACAAAAGACAGCTAGCTATAAAGCCTGGAAATAGGACACATTTCACAGGCATAGTCAGTCACAATTCTGGGTTCTGACAGGCACAATCCCTTTGGTGCCTGTCATTTTGTCAGGCACAGATTTGTCTTTCTATTGATTTTATTAATACATGTCTGGCACAAAGTTTGAAGTGTGAGGTATTAGTTCATTAGTGTTCGACAATTTGTCTGGTACATATATAACTGATATCATTATTTCAAGGCTTGCTACAAATGTACATAAAGCTAACCATGATGATAAATGTATTTGTATAATCTAGTGGAAGAAAATCTGGTGCATGACCAACTGTAATAGGAGTACCTTTTAACCCCAAGAAACAGCTTGTCTATAAATCATAACCTGTTTTGTTCATACTAACCACATTGATGATATTGATACCCAAGAGACGGGCTTGATCAGTAGAGTAGAAAATTCAGTCAAAATATGATATGCTAAGAAAATAATATTTTTGTCAATTTCCCAACTGCCTCTAGTGAAATATAGGATTAAGAATATAATAGGATTTTTCTTTAACAGACAGGACTGTGTATACATGTAGATGTCATGTATGTATTTTAAGACTAACATTTTAAGCATGACTTTAAAATATGCAATTGTCGCTTTAATATTACTAAAATGCATTGTACCCCAGGTATCCATATATATGTATCAAATGTTCAATAAATTAATCATTCCATTATTCATGATATAGCCATTCATATCCATTATAGTATTATACAATAATGATCAACAGGACAGGCAACAATATTAGGGTGTGCATTATTATGGATATTGCCCTTCCTGTTAGTATAACAATGTTTATAGGTAGTATTAATAGCAACAAAAGCAGTCCAACTGGTTTATTTATATTTAATTCCTATAATCAGGAAGTATAATCATCATGCAATTTAAATAATAAAAGATTTTACGACATAAATAAGCATATTATTGTACTTAAGACTTAGTCAAATTACATAGGCTACGCCCAGAAATATTGTCCTTAATTGTAGCCTTATTTAGTCATAATCCACAGCATTGCATCATGCACGGGTGGGGGGGGGAGATATGCTCACTCTTACTGAAGAGTTATTACATAATGTCCGCTTCCACTGGGGGTGATATCATCGAACATTTGCAAGAACTGATACATGTATCGCTTGACTTATAAATACATGTACTGTAAATATGCTCTGTTTTTCAGTAGCAGTTTGATCAACTAGGTTCCCACACGGCTTTGATCACAGAACAAAGTGATCATTAACTAAATCTAATTAACTTGTCACCAAGTACAACAGTGTCACTTGTGATAACAGAGAATGGACCCTAATCTTTTTATTTTATCACTGTGCGACTTTATGTGAAAACTGAGTCAGTTGGACCATAATCTACATTTTTCTTTATCACTTTGTAAATGGAGGACTCTAACTAGTCAGACTCATCAATACAGTCACTGTAACATGGTGACACATTAATTTACTAGGTTTCTGTTCAATAATTATAGACCTTACGAATCCAACAGAGCTATAATTTTAAGCCTATACATTATAATTGCTTCGAACGCACAACGATCTTTGTTAATTCATGCCCTATCATATTAGGTGGCATGCAAATTTTTAGACGTCACAATTGCATATAACATTAACAGTGACCTTTTTTAATTCATATCTAATATCATTTTAGATTTAATAGGCAGTTCTAATTGGACAGCTTATATTTAGACTCGAAACACATCAGTATAATTACTAAATTAGGCAGGTTTTTTTCTCACGAAAGAAGGAAATGTACACCAAACAAACTACTGTCCAAACTGTCAAATCAATCGATCCTCAGTGAAACAGTATGAGTATACCAGAACTGACATCTCTGTGATGGACAACCAAACCTCCTACATATATGTACATGTCACGATACACTGTACCTTACAGACAGTACATCGATTTCAATATTAATCCAACATCTCGGGCCTGGGCATTGTTTTTCGAAAGCTTAACTAAAGATAAAATCCAAATGTTAGTAGGTACTTCAATTTTGATTGGCTAAGCACTAAAATCAATCTAATATCAAATCAAATTACTAAGATTTGGATTTTATCTTAGTTAAAATTTCATAAAATAGGTAAATAAACCAATGTACAGTGTGTTGAAATAGTGCTGCGTACATATTAAATGAAATGGGGTTTAACATCCTACTTTTCTGAAAAAACTGGACCATTGAAAATCAGAATCTGACATGCAATGTACATGTATGTACCATGCAGGAAATTTTGAGGTTCCAACTGCTCTTCATTGAATTCTTCACACGAGGCCTGATTTTTTCTGACCTAACAATTAGATTGTTTCTTACCAGGTTCACCCTCCTGCATCACTGATAACCGGGAAACCAGACTGGAAAATCCCAAAGAACTTTCTCAAGACAATATCGTCCAGGATCAAATCTGGCCAGTGTCATTACTCACTACAGTGACTCCCATAACTAAAAATTCAGATGTGCAATCCACTACCTAAATTTGGGTAAATTGCTACACAAAACACCTACATGTATGGGTACCCAAAAAATGATGTAATGATCAAGAAATTGTCATTTAAAATAGTAGAAAATAGTGAAACAGTTAATCAATACAGTACTGTAATTTGTCAGTGCTGTCACTTGGTGAGATGAATGTTTTAATGTAAGCCGAGGATAAAATATTGAATACATGAATCATGTAGTAATCAAGTTAAGAATTTACATGTAGCCTATATATTTTTTATTTGTAATTTATTACCCTACTTTTACAGGTATATGTATGTTATATTTATTAGAGGAAAAAAGTAGAGCAGAAGATACATTAGATACAAGAAAATGAAATGAAATGAAATGGAGTTTAACGTCCTACTGTTCTACTCCTAACCTGGGCTAATGAAGATGGGCATACGCCATACAGTGTGCTATGAGGGAAATTTTGCCCGGACAGCGGCACTACGGCCTACTCTTATATCGAATTCCAACTGCCAAGGGATCTTTTACTTGCACACCAATGTGTACACGGGACCTCGGTTTTTCGTCCCATCCGAACGACTAGACAGCTTTCCTTGTCAGCCCCTCTGTCCTGCATCACTGACAAGGGAGAACCACGCCGGAAAATCTGGATGAACTTTCTCGGCCAGTGCAGGGATCGAACACCCGACCTCCAGGCTAGCGAGCTAGCGTCTTACCCACTTAGCCACGTGATCCCCTAGATACAAGAATGTAGCTAATGTCAAACTGTAATTTATTAAAAGTGGCAATAACTTTAAGGCCAGCCCGTCCCTGGCTATTATAATAGACCATTATTAGTTTTATCTTGCAAAATTATTATGAATACTGACTAAGTTTGAAGAGTGTGAGTAGGTTTTTTTTTGGTTTTTTTTAACAATCAACACTTCAATTGGATTTCACATGAGAGAAATCGTCAATCATTTGACATAGATCCAACTGTGTACGTACCGGTAGGTAACACAAAATAACTAAGGATGCAAATCATTAGAAATTGCATATCAGTTTGATGAAAATATGGTAAGCAATAATAAGTATAAATCACTGTTGGAAGGTGAGATTTATAAAAATGCTAGTCTTCTTTCAGTTTGTGCTTGAGTGAATTATTTCAACTATCAGTATCAGAAAAATGAAAATTATAGGGAAAAATTTCTACTTTGAACGGAGAAATATTGTTTCGAAGGATACATCTACATGTAGGTGTCCAATCACATACATGTATGGAAACTAAAGTGAATTTAAAATATTACAAATTGATCGTATTATTATTTTTTTTTCAAATGATAGAAATATTGCAGATGTTATGTCTTCTCATCCATTTGTTTGATGGTAAAAGACAGAAATAATCACAAAAGGAAAATATTCAAAAAATGTTTGGACTGACAAATGATAAAATAATTGTACATGTTGCTATTCAAGAAAAAAAGATTACTTGAAAAATATGTGTAAATTTAAAATGAACATCCAAATATGATTTGCTCCTAAAACATAATTTTGTTTATTGTTTTAAATCATGTCAACCACAAACAAAATGTGTGACCTTTGATTCATACGATAGTCTCAACTTACCGGCTTAGGCATTTTGAATTTGTGTGTTCTGCCGACTTATAAAAGATTACAATAAATCCACTGGTGTCTTGAAGCAGCTATAAAACTCTTTATCACTCTCTCTCACTCTCTCCTGTAATGTAAAGACAACAAGTTATAACTTGTGAACTATCAATTACATTATCATCAATAAAAATGGAAAAAAAGTTTCCTGATGAAAAAATGAGATAATAATTTCAACTGAATAATCAATAAATTGGATTAGATATTTAGATTTAGAACCTTCTAAAATTGTGTTCACTGTGGCCAAGCTAAAAAAAAAAAAATGAATGAAAAAATCTCAAGTAGACCCGCCCCATTATACTGTTTCACCTTGTGGCTTCTACTTCTTTACTTCTAGGCTCGTCAAATTCGTCTTGATTCACCTGAGCCTTTCACCTACTTGTGAGTTGATTCACGGTCGATCAATAACCACGGCAGTATAATAATAATACTACCATTACTACCTCGCCCAATTACAATATAATTCATTCATTCCAAACCCTGATTCCGCCAAAATAACATAATGACTCATTGTTCGTTCTAGAATAAGTTTTGAAAGCAGATACCCCAACAAAAAGCCAACCAGACTTCCACTGTCGTTTTAAAATATCAAATCAACATCACCCAAAATAAAATGGAAATGTCAAACGAGGAAGTCCTCAAGTCGATGTCAAAAGAAAGAGTATCACTAATTAAAAATAATTTTGCTAAGGAAACATAGAAAAGATGTAGCAAACTTCATGTTAATCCATGAAGTTCACAGCTATGCACCTCTGTCGGCGGATTAAACTTTCTTAGCTATTATGCTAAGTTTACGCCTTTCATGAAACAAGCTGGATAGGTGACAGCATGCGTCTATTTTGCACTGAATTGGGCGAGTCCCGTGTGCTGCAAATATAACTCGTTCATTTACTCCAAAGTATCCAAAATTGTTAAAATCCAAATTACAGATCACCTCACGGATGCACAGCTGAAACATCAATTTTATCCTAAATGGCTGACAATTTCTGAAATGAAACAAGGCCTTGTTAAAACTCACCCTAGTTTGTCTATTACCACACTTACAGTTAATTGTACTGAACCGGTCCACAAAATGGCCGCCACAGGGAGGGACCAAACGTCATTTACACAATACACAGACCCCTCTAACGATTAATGCCTCGTTTTCACTCACGCACCTGCTTCCGGTTTATTATCACCTGAAGAAATCTGTTCGCTTCGATTACAGATTAGTGAAAAAATCATATCAATTCTTGTCGTTTTTTAAACATTTGACTTTGAAATGTATTTTATTTTGCCAAGGAACAAATTACATCCTGATATGCATTATTGTGCGCTTTGGGTGGAGTTTTATGTAACCGCTTCACTGATGGCGATGTGAGTCATTCATGTCCGTGTCGCAAAATGATGGAAAGCACACCCAAGAACAAATATTCGCGGAATTTTTTTTTTCAGTGTTAATTTGTTTAGTTTTGACAAACAAGATACAGTAGTACATGTTAATCGGAGTTTTAAATTATAATTATTATTTTTTTAAAATTAATTTTATATTCACACAAATGCAATTGGCCTGTTATAATAGTGCTCCTTGCCTTTTCTAGACTTAGAGCCGCAGATCCCATCCCGTTCTTAAAAAATCCTGTATCGGCATAACTGAAATCCGCATATACATAGCACTTGTGTTCAGTTAATTTGCGGCCATCAAACTGATTTAAAAAAAATAAAATAAGTGTGGTGATCATTATTAGTGAGATCAGGGGGAGGACTGAGGACTGCACCACACACAAACATTTACACGTACAAGACAAATCCACGGACAAGAGATATCATACTACAGACATCACAAACAACAAACCTGCATAATAATATCAGATTAAGTGAATGGATCTGGTTGCTAGACGTAAGCGCCCACTGCACTGTACAGTTCAGGGTTTACTTTTTATTTTATTTTAAAGCCCTTTACCCTTTGAACGCCGCAGGGTCATTTAACAACCGAGTTGAGTGAGTACTGAAACTATGTGGAAGAACTGTTTGTATGATATTTAACCAACGCTATTAGATACATCATAAATGGACCGGTTATAAATATATGTTCTGTTTGAAGATGGCGATATATTTAGATCCATTGCCAGCTAACTACTTAGTCATTGCTATAAAACTGCCTCCAGCAAACAACTGATCACTAAGAAATAACCATATATAACAATGGTATAATGTCATATACGCCTGTCAGTGAGATTATTCCCGATTTCTATCCAGAAATGTCTGTCCATCATCTAGTCCTCGATTGTACGCCATGGGCCTAAAATTAGTATTCGTGGACCGTTATATGTGACGTAATATGTCAATATTATATAACGTAATACAATGGTCGAACGTATCAATAGCTCTCGGCAGATCAAAAGGAATGTAATAGCGGACACTATTAAAAAAAAGTAACACTGAAACATATATTGACACCCACTCAGTTTGTGTCAGAATGTGTTGTCACAGGTTGCGTCAGTGTATGATTGAGGTACGCGCTGTGAAACGGCGGTTCCAATAGATGATTACACGTCCTATACATTAAAGCACATCAGTGATTTAAGAGACTGGCAGGTGAACTGGGGTTCGATCCCGTTATTGTCTGAGAAATTTACCCGGGTTTTCCAGCATGTTTCCCCCTCCTCAGTAGTGCTGGACGGAGGCTTGGAAAGGAATAGTATCTCTGCCTCCGGATGTGAGGAAAAACTGAGGTGCCATGTTCACGTTGGCGTGCATGTAAAAGAACACATGTCGGTTGGAATTCGAAATAAGAGTAGGTCGTAGCACATGGTGTATACTGAAGTGAAATGGGATTTAACGTTCTATTGTTCTGCTCCGACTGGGCTAATGAAGACAGGCATACACCAAATAGTGTTCTATGAGGGAAATTTTGCGAGGCATACTCTTATGTCGAATTCCAACTGCCAAGAGATCGTTTACGTGCACGCTAATTTGTACACGGGACCTCGGGTTTTCTTCCCATCCGAATGACTATACGTTGTCTCTTGCTAGACCCTCTGGCCTGCACCACTGAAAAGGAGGAACCACGCCGGAATATCCCGATGGTGCAAAACAGGGGGCAGCTGTCCAGTCGTACGGGTGGGACGAAAAACCGAGATCCCGTGTACAAATTGGCGTGCACGGAAAAGAACCCTTGGCAGTTGAAATTCGATATAAGTGTCGGCCATTAGCGCCGCTCTACTGGCAACCCATAGCACACTGTATGGTTTATGCCCGTCTTCATTAGCCCAGTCGGATCAGAACAGTAGGACGTTAAACCCCATTTCATTTACTTTTTCGAGTTTCAACTGCCAGAACATTTCTGAGGTGTTTTGCAAAGGGATGAGTGGGGTTGGGGGTGGGGGGCTTTTTTGACTGGACACACTTTCCTCGCTTGTCCCACAAGCGCTACCCTGACAAGTAAAAACCGGGAGGTAGATGTCGGTCTATGTAAGGATATGAACCCATTGCAGATTGCATTTTTTAATAACCGGTTGAGACGAGATTTAAAGTATTTATGTGGGGGTTGGGACACGGGGTGCATCTCTGTGTATCAATATGTTAATTACATTAGTCTAATTTATTTTATATAATCACCGCTGACCCAGACGTCACAGCAAGGTTAATTCTAACAAACCGTAACTTACCTGCCTAATTTAAAATGATAATTAGGAGATTGAACCATTGTGCGTGCATACACATAATTGTATAAGAGAGAGGGACTAACATAACGTTAGTTTTCTCCGGGTCCTGCCATTTCCTCCCACTGCTAAAGACCCCTACGCATAAACGAATTATTGAAATAAAATTGAACCATATGTTAGTCCCGAAATGACCTGGTTTGTGTTGAGTGGAGGTTAAAATCTAGTGGGTTTTGTCCGGGTCCTCCGTTTCCCCCTACTGCTGAAGACGCAAGCGAATTAATGAAATATAATCGAGCCGTGTATTAGTCCTGAAATGACCTAGTTTGTCTTGAGTGGACGTTTCGATAACACTGACAAGGAGGAACAACGCTGGTAAACCCGGGTGAACTTTCTCAGCAAACGCAGGGATCGAACACGGCAACCTCCAGGTTAGCGAGCCAAAGTCTTACTCACCCAGTCACGTGAAGACAGTGGGGTGGGGGAGGGGGATACTTTGCAGAGAGAGATAGAAAGATGTGACCAACATCAATAATGTGTATTGTATGTAGAGATGGGTTTTGTGAGGTGTTAGTTAATTAATCATACCCGATTCGGATAGCTTATACACGTTCTTTAGTCGTAGCTCGGTGATTAATATGCTGTCGCACTTACCCGGAACATCCGGGTTTTAATCCTGTGTTTGCCGAGAAAGTTCTCCTGTATTCGCCAGCGGAATTCCCCTTGTCAGTGGTGCAGAACGAAATACCTGACAAGGAACAGCGTTTAGTCATTTGAATGGCATGCACGTAAAAGCACCATTGGCAGTGGGAATACGATGTAGAGTTGGCGGAACCGCGACTGCCCGGAAAACTTTCCCTCATGGCACACTGCATGGCGTATTCCCGTCTTTATTGGTGCACGTAAACTTCAGTTCATTGCATGTCATCCTTTGGTGGTTAGAGAAAAGTCGATAAAATTATTACAGTGTTTTGCGATGAGGGATTCCTATAGATGCACGAAATCGTTATATAAATCTATACCAAGTTTGGATGTGTCAGCGGAGGGTCTGACAAGGGCAGCTGTCTAGTCTTTCGGGTGAGACGAAAAATCGAGGTCCCGTGTACACATTGGCATTGGCGTGCACGTAAAAGATCCCTTGACAGTTGGATTCGATATAAGAGTAGGCCGTTGTGCCGCTGTCTGAGCAAAATTTCCCTCATAGCACACTGTATGGCGTATACCCGTCTTCATTAGCCCAGTTCGGAGCAAAACAGTAGGACGTTAAACCCCATTTCATTTCATTTCATTGAATGTGTGAAGAAAACCTGTCTCTTGGCCTAAATAGCTGTTCCTGAAACACTGATTACCAGTATTACCGGCTCAATAACAACATTGTGACATCAAATGGCAATTATGATCGATTGTTTCCTTTTTTTTGGGGGGGGGGGGGCCGCGGTGACTCAGTGAGTAAGAACCAGGACGTCCGGTGTTAGCCAAGAGAGTTCATCGGGATTTACTGGAGAGGTTCCCCCCCCCCCCCCTTGCCATTGATGCAGGACGGAGGGACTGTCTAGTTGTTGGACAGTTGGAATCGGGCGAAAAACCGATGTCTCGTGTACACGTTAGGATCACGTGGCTAAGTGGGTAGGACGCTGGCTCGCTAGCCCGGAGGTCGAGTGTGCGATCCCTGCATTGGCCGAGAAAGTTCACCCAGATTTTCTGGCGTGGTTTCCCCTTGTCAGTGATGCAGGACGGAGGGCCTGACAAGGACAGCTGTCTAGTCGTTCGGATGGGACGAAAAACCGATGTCCCGTGTACACGTTGACTTGCACGTAAAAGAACAAGTGACAGACCGTTGAGCCGCTGTCCGGGCAATATTTAGCAGGGTCGGATTAATCAAAACAACGCGATAAACAGCTGCTCAACGTTCATTCATGATTAAATCAAAAGTGGATAATCGAGACTATGTTTTCTATCACACCGACTTTAGTAATAATGATCGAGGCTAGGCCCAAAATTCAATCGCTGTATTCTCGGTTCAGAGTGGATCAGTTTGACTGGAATTTTTAGCAAATTCCCTTTACATTATGTAGTTTTTAACTATTATAGTGAGAACTGCCAGCTCTTTATCTAATCTCCCATAATCTATGTTTAATTAAATGTTAAATAATCAATTTGAGTCCATATTAGCTTGCATTATGGGTTTAATTCGTACATCTCCGAAATAACAACTGGAAAAAGAGTGAATTCTATTGTCATGTTTTTACGTTTCCTTACATACCTTTATAAGATATGTTTTCCGTATTAACGTGACATTTTATTCGTTTTCTTACTGAATCTATTATGTGTAGCTCACAAACAGGGAAGTAGAATAAAGGGGTGAGAGAGAGAAAGATGGGGGTTTAACGTCCAATTGACACAAACTAGATCATTTCGGGACTAACATATGAATTAATGAACTTTTATTTTAATAATTCGCTTGCGCGTTGGGGTTTGTAGCTGGGGAGGGCTGATTATAATGAAGGGAGTAGAACTGACCTTGAAATG